ACCGCACTCCCTGGGGGTGCGAGATGCCCTTTCTGGGGGTGCGAGGCATGGTCAGATTTTTTTTTAGAAGGTTAATAATCGAAAACACAAATGTAGCACTGGGCACGTGAGTACAGCTTACTTTGTTTCATGGAACTCTTTGTAGTTATTGCACATTTTTGTAACGGTTGAGACCCAAAGGGATGCGAGGCTGCGCTCAAGGGTAAGATCCACTGCTCTCGAGATGATTTGCTAATTCAATCCATGGCATCATTGTGGGTTATTACCAGAGGTCGACATTAATCACTAAATATTTTCCGGAGCGCTGCTTGCGTCCTCACTGGCTCGGAGAGTATAAATAATCGGCGTAAGGCGCTACCACTGGAGTACAAGGGTACGCTTCGATTGAAAGCTTTCGTGACTGCAGGGATTCATCTTCTGGGTTCTTTCGGTAAAGTCACGTAGAATGGAGATAAAATAATAAAAATAATAAGAACAGAATAAAATTATCACGACGTTTCGGCTCTGTTCCTCCCACACAGCTTAAAAGACGCTGCCAAGCTTGGCAGGGTTCACTCAAGCGCTGTCTTCCGGACAGTCCTGTTTCTTCACCTGAGGAAGGCTACTTGTGTTGTGGCCGAAACGTCGTGATAATTTTATTCTGTTATTATTATTTGTATTATTGTATCTCCATTCTATGTGACGTTACCGAAAGAACCCAGAAGATGAAGGGTACGCTTGTCCATACTAATGCAATATTACTGTGCCATATATCCCTCTGATAACGAGTATCACGAGGACAAGGCAAGGCAGTTGTGGTGCCCCCAAATAAATCGCGGAGCAGCGCGAGAGACTCGCAACCAGCCGCGAGTGAAGTGCGGACATCACAGCATGCTTTGCTGTTGTTCGCCTTCCCTTGGTGAAATGGCACGGGGCTTTTTGGTGGCAACACAACGCAGTAAAGCGAAGGAATTGACAGCTAAGAGGCCCCCCCCCCCAAAAATCTTAATATCCCGAGCCCCCCACCCCTCTACCCCTCATTTGGCCCGGGTAACACCATTACGAAGTCCCCGCGAGCGAGTGACATGCATCACGACACCGCACAGCTGGTGCTATATACGATGTAATAACAACAGCAGCAGACCAGTCGATGGGTTACAAGGCTCCCTCTTTAGTTCCGACACACGGGGGGGGGGGGGGGGGGGGGCGACACGAATGCTGTGCGCGACTTCACGCGAGCAACCGACACACATTGTTGTTCGAATTCGGTAAAAAACAACAACAACAACAACAACAACAACAAAAAACCCTAGAAATGTCAAGAGCCGCGATGCATGCGAATACGAGACGGTGGTCTTTCAAAACCAGAGCCGCATGCCACTCCGGAGATTACAGGGCCCAAGGGGTCCAGGGCTCGAGGTTGCCGCACCCCTTCCCTGTACCGGTGTGGGACGCAAGGTGGCATACGGCAGCTTTATGACCGCACGCACGGCCGCGATGGTTTTGGCGATACCAAGGACAGCGCCTCATGCCTCTTGCGCCGCGTGTGGCCGGGCCGTACAAGAGCCGCGCGCGGAGTTTAAGGAGTTCAGTGGGCAGCCCAGTTTCTGTCTCGCCCCACTGTTTCAGCCGGTCCCATTTACCATTCAGACGGGGTTTTAACGAATTAAAAGGCAGCGAAGATCACTGCGACGAAGCGAAGTCAGATCCATGCGCAGTGAGTCGGGATTGCCCGGGTGAAACGTAAAAAAAAAACACATCAAGCGAATGTAGGCACATGCGATGATTACCGTACATGTATTGCCTACTGGTGTAGAACAGGGGTGAAGACGCGCATACGGCTTCTCACATCGATCCTCTGACGCGCTGACGTGTTGCGTGCCACGTGGGTACCGAGCCAGTCAGTGACCCTCGACGACTGAGGATTCAGCGGAAATTTTTTTCAACCAGCGTGGCCGAGATAATCGACGATGACATCCCTTGGCCAGCACGGCTGCTGCGCGAAACCCCAGGTGGACTCATCTTGGCGAACGAACGGTATGAACGAGGATTCATTGCACGACGCGAGTGTCTCTCTGGAAGCTGTACGCACGTGACTTGGTTTTACATCGGCGATGGTAGGCCAAGACGACATCGGCCGTCATTGGTATCAAAATGCGCAAGCGGCGAACGTTTGCGCGAGAAGCCAAGCCAAATGTTCCACGACTGTTTGGCTCACCTCGATTTGCTTCACGAGATTAAATCGAGAAATGCGTTTGTCAGGCGTTAGACGCAATAGACGACAGTGGTGGTAGTAGGGAGGGGGTCGCGTTGAGCAGCGTGGAAGGCCAAGGGGAGACAAGCCACGAGTGGAATAAGTGACCGGGGGAGCTATCGAGATTCGCCAAATACTTCAACGAGAGCAAGCGAATGGGAGAGTTGCGTCCAGCGGCTCGCGCGGCCGCTCTTAGGCACGTGGTTGAAAGGCTGCGCACGGATCCCGTGCAGGTGAACAGTGTCAAATGTGTGCGGGGAGACTGCAGTCCCACGTCGTGGCGACAAAACACGCGAATACACAAGCCGACAGAGAGTTTACGTTCCACGGGTGCAGATACAGTGGTGTTGATAGATGGGCTGCCGTATACACACGGTTGATAAGCCACCGAGCTTAATGTTTTAAGGACATTTGAATCGATTGGCGGTAGCCCGGGTCACCGCAAAATATTGGTGGGCCGGGCATAGTTTAAGGTTTTTTTTTCTGGGAGCATCGCTGGTACTACCACCCTGTCCTGCCGGAGGGCGACGCTGGGAGCGATGATGACGACGACGATGTCGATCCCGCCAGCACGGCCGTGACCGCCGGCCGTACCAAGAGAGCGCCTGGTGCGCCATTGCCTCCAAGTGGTCTCGCTCCCAAAGACAAGGGGGTGGCCGCCCCCGTAAGAAGCACAACGTGCTGGGGAATGACCAGACCAGCATCCCAATGTACTTTCACAACAAGCAATAAACAGCCGTTGCCACGCACAAATTCCCAGCAGCCCCCCTTTTTATGGGTGTTTTGCGTGTCTTTTTTATTTCCATATTTGGCGTGCGTATCGGGCTCAGTGACATCTCCCGTCTTCATAGGCCTTCTGATTTCGGAGTTATGGAGGTATTGGCACCCCCGGGTCACGATGGTGACCCGGGTTACCGCCAATCGATTCATTTATCGACGTGTGACTTAGTGGAAGGAAAAATTGAGTTTTGGGATGACAGGTAAGATACGAACTGGACGGGAGTGGAAATGTGAATTCAGAAATTCAGCTCCTTCCATCATGAACACAAAGCTGGCAATGTATCAGAGGCTCGTGAATGATCAGAAGTATGGTCATGGGTTGATGTGAGCTCTTTTAGACACCAAAGAGGAGTTTTAGCCTTTGAAGGCCAAATCTGGGTCCAAGCCAAAACCTTTCAAGTTTGAGAGAGATAAAAATTCGTTACCCTAAGATCAGCGGGAACACCTTTGGGGTGATGAAGAATGAGCGGCATGTTAATTGAAGCCATACCAGCCAAGGGGTGGAGGGGGGGGGGGGCACACACCTTGAATCTGAAGGCAGTAGCAAGACACTGGGAATGTCACTCGCGTTCAAACACACACACGATTGTAAAGTGTAACTCGCCGCACATTAGTCGCTCACTCTAAGAGAGCGCGACGCAGGGCGAACGACTCTAGGAGGAGGCGCGAGGAGGCACCGCGGATAAGCAGGAAGGCAGCCTACACGGCGAGCCGGCGTCAATTGCCCAAGCTCTGCGGTTTACACTCATTCGTTTGGTGGGCATGGGCTCTGCTGCGATGTTTAATATGTGAAAGCAACTCCACGTTGCATTTCACCAGGAAAGGGCCCACCGAGCTGCATAGCTCTTTTTCAGAAGCGACCTGGCCACAGACGGCAGCTCAAAGGAGTGGCTCATTACGCGCACATTGTTCGCAGACAAATACTCGAAACGCGTGATGTTGATTCTAAAGGTGGAGGGAAAAACCGGAGGACCAGTAGAAAAAAAATCCACGCGACCAATGGGAGAACGTGCACACTCCAAATATATATATCATCAGGGTGGAGATCGAACCCACGACCCCTGTATACCACGCAAAGCAGTTAACATCTCACCACCACGGCACCCTGTTAAATGCCCCCCCCCCCATTTAATGTTCCGACACCTAAAACCATTCTGGCCCGTGGGCCTCGGGTGCATTTGCACCGCCTGCACACTCAAGTTGCCCCACCACATGAGACTGGCACCCAGCGGCTAGCGCGTGATTGACGCGTCAGTGGACACCTTTACCCACGTTACAGTAGACGGTGCACTCTGATCAACATGGACACCAGCATCATCAGGTAGATGTGCCACTTAACATAGAGAGTCTTTGCACTCCGCTGCTCAAGAGTGGCACGCAGGTTTTGACACAAGCGCTGAGATTCGTCGTTGAAGAAAATACAGAAGCAGGCCCACGATTATTTCTGCTGTCGCGTTTCGAGCATTTCCCCCATGAATACGCTTCAAAAATGTCCTTCTTACGGAGACTTAAAATTTCATTGCGTTGCACATAGCCAGGCGCTGACTAATTTAATCGGATTCACGTCCCTCCGGTAGACACCTCCCTGATGCCGTGAGACTTTCAAGGGCCAAGGCCGTTTGGGTTATCTTGAGCAAAGCCCTGGGCAACCCTCACTCGGGCCTGCCCGGAGGTTCAACAAACGAATTTTCTCGGCCCAGCAATAAGCGAAGAGGCTTTCCGAACCAATGGATCATTGTGCATCAAAACTTCTGGACTGCTTCCGCAAGACCTTCAGAAAAAAAAATATATTTTTTTAAAACCACGGACACAATCTGGGGGCCTTCAGCCACGAGTGGGCGAGATGTATTCTCGGACCACGCTGGAGTCGCGGTGAAGCCATCAAAACCTGCGAAAGCGCATCCACAGTCGTCGTGTTTGTCAGAGGTGAACTTATTTACGAGGCCACGCAAACCGTACGCGAAACATACGTGCAGCGTGTTTTTTTGGTTGAATACAAATCTAATATTTTATTACCGTAATATAGTTTTACAGTCATTTCTTCCCACCCCCAGCACCACCACCGCACCAAAAGCTCCTCCGCCACTGCCGCTTGTGCAGTCGACGCGCGCGGCGAGGGGTGGCGTCCGCCAGGCTGGGGAGCAGGAGGGGGTGCGAGCGCGTCGCTTGGGTCGTCGCGGGCCGGGAAGATTGCGCGTGCGACGTTACAAATGGGAATGGGGGGGGGGGGGGGGGGGGGGGGGGGCGGCGGCTTAACTCGGCAATCGCCATTTTGGTGCTTGCACTCACAAAGGGAAATGGTTGTTCGCAGCAGCTTTAACCTTCCTGGCGATTGCGAGCGAGCGAATCCCGACCACGGCACACGCGATGACCGCGTGGCCGAGATTCGGTTCCCTTCGCCCCCACCCCCCCCCCGCCCATTAATGTCCCAAGTCTGGCACACAAAAATTGACTCTCGCTTCAAGGGCCGAGTCGACCAAGCAGAGGCCCAGGCTGCGCCCGCTCCGCCTCACTACACCGCACACACATAGTGATGGGGGGGTACTCTATATCTCTCGAGGCAATTTTATTTTATTCTGTTAAATTGAAATGCATAGACTTTATAAGACTTTGTAGCACAGGACACAAAAAAACTATATTACTTTTACATATACAAAGATACAATAATTAATATGCAACCGATGTACAAGTGAAGAAGAGTAAAGTTGCTAGTACAGGCCCCCCCCCCCCCGCCCCTTCGCTCAAAAAGCCTCGGCAACGCAAAGCGCCTTGCGTCTCACATCAACCATCCCAATGCCCTGCTGCAGTCGAGCCAAGGGGGACCCCCTCACCCAGTGGCAGCTGTCTCTGTGTGGCCGCAAGGTGAACGCAGCACCGGCCTGAGAGGTCAATGTTGGTCTGCCAGTAGGGAGGAGGGGGGGGGGGGACACGGGCGATAAAAGTGACCGTGGGCACTGCAGTCAGGACCGGGACTCGACGAGCCACTCGGTCCGCTTTGACGACATAGAGCGGCTCAGCCGCGGCTCGGCTTTGATCCCGAGCGTGGCTGGGACCGTGCTCAGAGCCGGCTCAAGAGCCGACGGGCTCGCTTGAGAACACTTCAGGACCTTCGGCCCCGTTTCCCCAACAACCCCAACATCTTTATTAGTCTTGAAATAAAAACGTATATAAAATCAGGTTCATTAACTAGTGTATGCGCAGACCTTCACCCATTTTAATTATGAAACTTTAAAAAAATGTTTAAGCTTCACTTTTGAAATGCTTAGTATTTGATAACAAGACTACATTTGCTAAATCAAATGAGAGTAACTTAACTATTAAAAGCAAGGGCTGGTATGTTACAAGGAGGTTTACTGGAAATAATGGATACATAGACTAAAATTATATCATGATCATCTTGGTGGGAGTCTGTTACATTTTTTGACCCAAAATGCTCAATGTGGGATGCCAGATCGGAACAAAATTACAAACACCATTCTCATTTTGCCATTGTCTTTAAGGGAGGCCCAATTATTTCTCACCGCGCAGTTAGAATCGGCTCCACTATAACGTTTTGCTGGACAGGGGGGGGCGGGGGTCGCTCTTACTTTACAATGTACATTTAGTATCTAGAACCAAAAAACTGTCAGCAATGAATATAGTTTGCCAATTCAAGCTGAACGGACCGCAACGAGTGGTTCCCACTTCATGTTACGCGGGCAGCTTTTGGTTTACAAGTCACCCACATCGCTGGCATCACAGTCCGCGGACGCTCGTAGCTCGCGACACCCACGCCGCACGCTACACCAGCGCTGCAGCGCGATGGAGCCGGCTGCGTGACCCCGGCTCTGTGGCCTGGCAAAGGGGTTCACACGCGGCACGACAACCTCAGCGGAAGAAACGAGACGACTCGCCAACTTGTGCAACTGAATCTGGCCCGATTACCGAATGCCGCCCACGGACACGGGGGGTCCACGCAACAGCCTCGTTGCACCTCGCCCTGGCGGGGTTGAGGGGGCCGTTGACGCGTCGCCGTGCCCCACGCGCCCCCCTTTTGTCCCACTGTCCAGGGTTCTTTTTGCGGTCACGCTGCACGGTTCTCCGATGTGGTTCTCGGGGGGGGGGGGGGGGGGGGGGGGGGAGGGGGGGGGGGGGGGAGGGGGGAGCGTGCCGCGCGTCGTTCGGCACACGATGTCTGACGTTTTGCTCAGACATCGTGGATTTCTTAGGTTGCCGAAGAAGCTCTCGTGGCACGTGGAGGCGAAACGTCGGACATCGCGCCGAAGAACGGGCGGCACGGCTCGAAAACCACGTGGGAGGAGCTGCCTTCATCGTTCCCCACTAGAGCCCCCCTCCCCCCAGTCACCCCACCTCCTCACCCCCACCCCCGCGCCCTATCAGCACATAGCGTCTGCCATGCTGGACTGCAGCTTGGCGAGCTCCTGGTGCGACCGCGGGGTCCCGGGCTCGGGTCCGGAGCAGGCCGGCTCTTCGGGGAGGTGCAGGCCAATGAAGATCTCGTAGATGAAGGCCCCCAGCACGCCGCCCAGCATGGGGGCCACCACGGGCACCCAGCTCCAGTAGTTGCCCGCCCTGCAGCAGAACGCACACTCCCGGTGTGAGCTCACGTTTGTTCGTCAGTGGGTGTTGTTGCTTTGACTTAAAACTTTCGTGACTGCAGGAATTCATTTTCTATGGTTCTTTCGGTAAAGTCACTTAGATAGAAAAAATAAAAATAAAGTGAATAAAAATATCACGACGTTTCGATCGCAACACAAGTGGTCGTCATCAGGCAAAGGAGTCAGCCTCTAAAGGCAAACTTTTTATAAGGGTTTGGGGATGGGCGTAGCCCAAGTGTATCAACAGCACCAGGAACATGGGCGGTGTATGAGTGCCAATGCAGCAACAATGCCAATGCAGCAGCAATGCCAATGCAGCAGCAATGCCAATGCAGCAACAATGCCAATGCAGCAACAATGCCAATGCAGCAACAATGCCAATGTAGCAACAATGCCAATGTAGCAACAATGCCAATGCAGCAACAATGCCAATGCAGCAAAGGGCCGCCAAGAAATCCCTGCACCCCGCTCCACACACCACACTGCTGACGGTGGAGGTTGATTGACAAGAAAAGTCAAATCATGACCCAAAGTGGTTGATTACATTTTTCCAATGATTGCCGTGTCTATAACCTTCCTCTCGGTTGATATTGTGTGTCTGTATATATGGATGGCTTCATGAACGAATCTTTGTTGATAGCCAGTAGGCTTGAAAATTACCATCGTCTTAGAGAAAATAAATTTTGTGCGAGCCAGCCGCATTATAAAATAATTAAAATGTTCTATCTACGCGACTTCACCAAAGAAAGGCCTTCATCCGCCAGTGGATTGACCACGGCCGACCGACGACAAGACTTACGAGAAGACCTGCCAGCCCCAGCCGGCGAGGGCGGTGAAGATGCGGGGGCCGAGGTCGCGCGCGGGGTTCACGGCGTAGCCGGCGTTGAAGCCCATGGAAAGGCCGATGAGCACGACGACGAGGCCGATGAGGAAGGGCTGCATGCCGCGCGGCGCCGGGTTGTTGCGCTTGTCGATCACGGCGAGGATGCACACGAGCAGCGCTGCCGTGCCGATCAGCTGCGGAGGGGGGGGGGGGGCGGCGAGAGGGGGGGCGCTGGAGCTCAACGCGCAGCTTTACATCGGGGCAGTTGGCAAGTCCAGGTCAACGGTCAGCCAAGGCCGTCATCACTCGGTGGGCAATAAAATAGAGTAACACTCCGGAAAGGTGCCAAGGCCGCAGCAACCTATTGCTGGCGAAGTGCAACGTGTCTTACGTTTACAACTTCAGAACGTCTCTGCGTGGCCCGGCGAGCCTCGCGACTCACGGGAGGGAGGGAGAGTTTGTCACCTGATCCACAAATCCGTTTCCGATGGAGAGATGCGGTGAGGGGAAGGTGGCGAAGACCCCTGCGAGCTGCAGCGTCAGGTTCCCTTTGGAGACGTACATGAAGGCGTCTGCGAAAAACCGTGACAAACGCGTTAACGCACCCGAGAGAGAGAGAGAAAGAGAGAGAGGGGAGGACATCCGCCTAGGCGATGTCGGGGCGACACGAGATCGCCTTGTGCGCCCAAGCAAGACGGATCGGTTTCGTCGCAAGGCCACGATGTCGACGGCAAACGGCGTCTCCAAGACCCTTCATCCGGGCGGGGGAGAGACCGCGGCTGACGACTGCGATTGGACGCGCCGAGCGGGAGGAGGGCCGTCGGTGATGAACTCCGGGAGCCAAAAGAAAAGCAGAACGCATCGCTCCGCCGACGTCACGGTTGGCGGACACCGCAGGGTGCGGTGGCGCTCTGCAAGTCGGCTGCAGGTCACAACACCACGGGAGAGATTGGGGCCCACATCTCTAAACGCAGAGAGGGGAGGTGGAGGGGTAGATCTGTATTTGAGGACAATGGGGTTTTCGCTGCGGACCACAGATCGGGGCTGCATGGCGGGGATGATTTAAGGGTCGCGCCCTAAATATTAGGGGCCAAGGGGGGGCACTGCAGGCCCGAGCTAGCGATGTTGACCTTGGGGGTTGCAGTTCGGACTGTCAGGTCGGTTCACTCGTGACGCTCGTGGGGTTGAGGAGTCACGTCGCTGCGACGACAGGGTGACACAAACAAAAAACAGCCACTGCACTCGCCCACCTGCTAAGCAAACCCGAGGTGTCTAAACTCATCCTTGCAGCACCAAAACAGATCAAGGTCCTTTCGCCTTTTGAACTCAAGGTCCTGGAATACATTGATCCACAATGCACCGGCTATACAATACACACACGAGGTCTCGGAGGAGGAGGGAGGTGGGGGGAGTCGCGTTGGAGATTTGAAACATCAAAGGGGAATTTTCAGTGGACACCGGGAGGACGTTTCAATGAACGGGGTGGGGGTGGGGGTTGGGGAGCAGCAGAGAAGCGTAAGTGACCACACACCACGCCAGAGGTTTCCGTGAGAATTGCGGAGGTGGTGCGGAGTTCCTCATGCAGAGAAAGTTAAAAAGCACGCGAGAGGAGACATCGGATCACGCAGGTGGCAGACGGGGCAAGGTGGGGGGGGGGGGGGGGAAAGTCGGGCGCGTTGCCCTGTGTCCCCCCGTGCGAGCGAGGCCGCTGTGTGGGGGGTAAATAAATAGAAATAAACATTTCAAAAACCAGACAGGGTGGAACACAAAGCCCATGGCAGTCGCGAGCAGCACACGGAAGTTTCCCCGGTGCCCAAAGTCACAAACAGCCATCGGCATGACGGTTCAGGAAAGATATTCACGCGAGAGGCACGAATACAAATATTAGAAATCATGATCGGTAGGAGGAATGGGAGAATGGGCGAACTTTAATGCGGCAGAGCTTGCCAAGCTATTTACTATTTTTTTATTTTAAAGTTTACTGGATAAGGCCCACTGAGCTATACAGCTCTTTTTCAGAAGCAACCTGGCCACAAATAACATTAACGAAGTGGCTTATCGTGTGGAAATTTGTAGCAGACAAATGATATAAAACGCGCGATGTTGATTCTAAATGTGGAGGAAAAAAACATAGGACCTGGAGTAAAATCGATGGGGAGAGAGACACGCAAACTCCAATTATACAGCAGGCATCGGAGTCGGGATCGAATCCACGACCTCCTGTATACCAGGCGAGGTAGTTAACATCTTGCCACCACAGCACCCCAACCAGATACGAGTCCTGCCACTACCCTCAACCTTAACCGCACCAACAACAACACAAATATCCCTTCCGCAAGCTCTAACCGAACTCTGGCACCAACGCTAGCTCTACCCATGGGCAGCACTATAAGTGTTGGAGATAGGATGCTGGTATGAAAGGGGGAAGGGTTGGAGGATGTCGTACATCTGTGCTTCATCGGCGCGATCATCTGTGAGAACCGCGTCCACGCGTCGGGGGTTTAAATCAGCGTGCCTCACCCACATCTCTTTTCTCGTCTGTCCACCGCCAGTCGTATCATCTTCCATCACATTCCTGCCCCAGGGTTCATACCTCGAGGATATCAAAAACAACGACCGAACCTTTTTGTGTAGATTAAGATCGCAACGCTTTCAGCGTTAACAGCATAGGTGGTAAAAAAAACCCCATTGCTAGACAGCGTTGGTGGTGGTAGTGGCGGCGCTGAAAGTGGACCCCGTGGGGGGGGGGGGGGGGGGGGGGGGTGTCAACTGCGGAACAGCCGAAAGGATTTGGGGGCAGAAGGAAAGAAGTTTGGGCGCCACCGGTGGCAATGGCTGCGACGGCCTCTTGATCGAGGTGATGCTAGCGAGGATCGCGTAAGTTGCCGAACGCTGCGTCAGCCGTTATGATAAGTGAAGCGCGGTCGTGGTTGCATGGCCGTGTTAAACTGTTGACCGTGCGCACATTTTCATACCTGTCAAGCCCTTATCAGTGCCCTACCTTATTACAGACCAAGTCAAACCTTAATGGTCACCCCGTGCCCCCTTATAAATCTCAACGTTCACCCTACAAAGTCCCCTCACTAGGGGAGAAAAACAAACGAGTCAAAAAATGTTGCCTGTATTGAAACGGCTGCAGAGGAATACGGGTAAACCGTATTGGTTGAGAGGCATTGCATTTTGCCAAATGAATTTCATCCAAGGCAGAGGCAAAACGCAGAGTTTATATTTTGTGGTCTGCCAATGAGTGTCCCCGCTTGCATTAACGAGAAATGCATGAACAGCATGAGCTGCCCGGTAAGTCACAACTGTCCTCTGGTCATTCTGAAAACACACGAGCTCAACAGCAGTTATTTAAACTCAACTTTTTATTTAACTACGTAAGGCCCACTGAGCTATATAACTCTTTTTCAGAAGTGACCTGGTCACAAATGATAGCCCAATGAAGTGGCTTATCACGTGCAAATTTATAGCAGCCAAATAACTCTGAAGACATGTTTCTAAATGTAGAGGGGGAAAAATCGGAGGACCGGGAGAAAAATCCACATGACCATGGGGAGAACACGTAAACTCCAAATATACAGCAGGCGTCAGGGTCGGAATCGAACTCTCAACCTCCTGTATACCAGGCGCCGCCAAGAAAGAGCTCACAAGGAAAACATTTACAGGACAACATCACGTACCAGCCTAGCTGGGGGACGAAGGTATTAGGCGGATGTGCTAATAAGGTTGGACGTGTGAATATATATAGCAAACGAGAGCTACACCGTGCACGAACAGTACACTGGGAGAGTGCGGTTATCAGCCAGGTGGAGAGGCATCGGTCGATGTGTGCCGTGCTGCATGTATATTTTTTTTTACCAGACGGTGAAATTTCCAGCAGAATCGAAACCCCGGCGCATGCACACACTTCGCAAACTTCTTCAAAACGCCGCAGCGGTCACAATGGATCACGTGCAAAACATTCAATCGCCACATTCCTAGGTGCAGGAGAAAAAAACAACCCTTGGGTCCTCACGCAACGCAAAAACAGTATCTGAATTCAGCAACAACAGCGCGCCTGTTAGCATTTGGAAAAATACGGTCTTGTCGCTCACGTGGAAGCGACCCACGGAAACTCTCATGCTGGTGCCAGCCACTTGTGCGCGCGCACGCACGCACGCACAGATGCCAGATAAAATAATGTTTGTACATCACAACTCTGCATTGTGCAGACGCGGAGTGTCCTTAAAAAAAAAAACACCCGGGCCACGACGTGTGCGCGCTACGAAGGAGGAGGCGTGGCGACCCAATGGTTTGTTAAAATGCAGAATCAGTATGTAGTTATACTGCGAGAAATCCGATGAGCTATAAAGCTCTTTTTCACAGCTGTCCAGTCGGGGCGGGTAAGAACGTGACAACAAACAGTACAAAAACACGATAGGAGTTCAAAGTACAAGAAAAGGTAAACAAATCGCCCAAACACACACAAATAAATCTAAACAAATCCCCTTCCTAGCAGCCAAAGCCCACCGAGGTATTTTTCAAAAGCGACCTGGCCACAAATGATAGCTCAACAAAGTGGCTCATCATTCGGACATTTTAAAATCGCAGAAAAATCTAAAAAGTCCAAAAAGCGTGATTCTAAATGTGGCAGGAAATCCCGGAGGACGCGGCGAAAAAAATCCACGCAGCCATGGGGCGAGACTCCAAATATAGAGCAGCAGGTGTTAGGGTCGGGATCGAACCCACGACCTCCTGCACACCAGGCGAGGTAGTTAACATCTCCTAGTCACCGTGGTGATGATAAGAGAGAGAGAGACACACAAAAACTCCAAATATACAGCAGCAGGCGTCAGGGTCGGGATCGAAGCAGCGCGTTCCAGCGGCGTTGGGGCAAGCGAGTCAGCAATTTGTTTGCTTCGCTGAAAATTCGATTTCTCGCTTACTGTAATCGAGTGCTTATTCACTGCGATCACATCGACAATCAACATCGTTTGTGGAAGCACCGTCCGGTGAACCCTGCCAGGACAATGCACAGGGCCTCACGAGGAGTGGTCAACTTGGCTGCCAGTGAACACACGCGCCAAGCCGATCGACCGACTGCAGTCGAGCCCGTGTACACCGCTGGGTGGACAGAGTCGGTGGGGAGAGGGGGATTTAAAAACAAAAAACCCGCCCCCATTGCATCAACTGCCGCGCCAAGCGATGGAATCGATCCGGTGGCCTCTGGATTGCAAGTCGAGTTTGTCAATTGTTACGCCACAGAAGCTTTCCCGTCACTCCGCAACTATTGACAAATGACGGAATAGATAAACAAATAACGACAAGAAGGAGAGAGACGGTGGGGGGGAGGTGGCGCAGGTGACGCGTGTGTACGGCCGCACCGTAGTAGAGGCCGAAGACGGTGCCGGCGCCCATGAAGGCCCCGAGCAGCTGAGCCGTGACGTACAAGGGGAACTTGCTCCAAGAGAAGCGGCCGAGCACCGCCAGCGCCATCGACACCGCCGGGTTCAAGTGCGCGCCTGCATGGGGACAAGGACGGGGGTGGGTGGCGGTGGGAGGAGGGGGGGGGGGGGAGGCGGCGGTCACAGAGCACAACGGTTCACGAGAGGTCAATCAAAGCCCCCTCCGCCCAAGTGTTCAGATCGACCCGATCATCCATGGAGATCGGACCAGGTTCCGTAGCGGTGGCAACGCTGCACCTGCGAAATGCGAACGCTCGCACGTCTGTCCGTGTGTACACGTGTCGCCGCATTCAACCCCCCCCCCCCCCTCCCCATGTCAATCCGCTGCTGGATGAGGGCTTTCCCCAGGCCGTGGGGGTCATTTGACCATACTTCACCGTGATGGGTGGGCGCGATTTGGTAAATGCGGAGGGCGCATTGAACTAAAAAAGAACAGCGAGATATGTCGTGCTGCAATGTTGCACGTAGATTTTGCTGAAAAAAAGACTCCGTCCTGCCCATCAGTCCATCCAGGGCTGGGATGGAGGGAAGTCCATTAACGGGGAAAAGCCACATCCGTGGAGCGGATGTGCGTGCAGTCGCTGGTGTCCAGGGTGGGACCACCACTCACGCCAATTGCAAAACAAGTGACCCCGAGTGGCCGAGAGCACGTCCGCTGTTGAAATGGGAGCGACGAATTCACCTTGTGGGCAGGAGCCGGATCGATTGTTACGACGCCCGGCCAGGAGCTCGAGAGAGAGAGCAGGACGACTTCTGGAGGCCTTCATCCGGCTTCAGACAGACCCGGGTGTGCTAACGATGGCAATATAAAAAAATATAGGTTTTGGCGATGGGGGTGGGGGTTTCCAGGGTGAGAAAATCGGGTCACGAGAGAACGTGGAGCGGACGGTGCTCAGTGGATGAGCGGGGGGCGTCCCCGGCAGAGGAGGGAGGGATCGATTTACATAATTTCGTCTGGGTAATGGGGTTTGGGTGGGGTGGGTGTCTTGCAGACTACGGATGAAAATCAATGAAGGAGGGGGCATTGAGTGTTAAGCTTCGGTTAGGGTTGTAAGCATGGCGAGAGGAACACACCACGTGATGTCCCTGGAACGGTCAACCAAAAAAAGGGGCACTACTGATGAGCGACCGACCCCGGTCACGCGCGGGACGCTCAGAGGTCTCTCACAACCGTGACCACCTCGAGATGGTTTACAGCCATGAACAGATTGTACAAGAGTGTCGTCATACGGAGACACTTCTACCTTACACACGGATCATTCTATATTTCTGCACAAAGTAGTGTTTGCATAAAACCCCAGATGGCAGAGTTGGGCGCAAGTGCACCAAGCGGAAGCTCAGAGTCCCTCGGGGCTGCTCAAGGGGCCATGGATTCATGGAAAAAAGGGGCGCATTAAATAGGAGCTCAAATTCAAGTCCTAATCAGCATAAAAATGTAAAACTAACCTAGGCAAAGGCAACAAAACTCAATGCAATGTCTATCTACAACTCTAAATTCACATCCGTCTCAACTCATCTCACGACGTAGCCATCTCGGGTCTCGAGGCGGCTCTCAGAGCATCTCACTGGGAGATTAAAAATCCAAAAAGGTCGGAGAGACCCAAAATGATTTCTGCTTTGGGCTCCCAATGGGCCGGTCACCCTCCAAGCACAATCCATAACCCCTTGCGAGCACTGCGTGTGGAACAGGAGCCGTTTGTTCGTTTGGGTTTCACCTGGGAACAGCGAGCGCTGTTCCCGCCACGATGAGTGCCCACCGCAAGAAGCCCCCCCCCACCCACCCCCCCACGACCACTGGCAACTCTTGCAGGGCCCACCACAGGGCCGCGATTCACACGCGGAGTGGGGACGTGGATTCCCCCCTCCTCCATCTCCCCACCCAGCCCGCCCCCCCAACGCCGGCCCAACTGGTGCTGAACTGGGAGAACCCCAAATCTACCCTGGCGATTACACAGCAACGCCTTCGTCAACAGTGGAGGGTCCACTTGGGCCAAAATTCGCCATCGCGCGATTATCGGTCGCTCGTTTAATTCACCTCAATTTTTTTACATTTTGACAAAATTCTTACGAAATGAACGAAAGTGTACGATCTTGATTTGAAGCTTTCGCGACTGTAGGAATCCATACTCTTTGGTTCTTTCGGTAAAGTCACGTAGGTATAAAATAAATAAAAAGTGTACGATTAAAGTTGTAAATAAATACCTCCTGTTATCTATTCAATTAGGGGGTGCGTTGTAAAATGTTTTTCAAGAGTAAGTGGTGGCATGGAGATTAGGGTTCGTTAAAGGTGATCGACTTATTTTATTGGAAGCGTTCGACTGACAGCGGCGAGTGCGGTTTAACCACGAGGGGGTTGTTGTGAAGTTGCTACGATTCAAATTCTATTGACGTTGGCCTGCCATGGGAACTGCATTTGAAGAATTTTTAAGCGACCTTCAAGTCATACAAGAAATATAAAGCAAAGCAGCAAAACTAAAATAAAATCCGAGACAATGCATACAGCCATGATAAACTGGCCACTGGTAAAATCGCGTCAGTCATCACGTCGTCAAGTTTGGTAGCGTATCGTCGAAACATTATATCGTGGAGAGCTTAGCGAACATCACGCGTTCGCTGCCATCAAAGCACTCGGCAGCGAGCAACTGCCCTGCTCCTCCCCCGCCCCCCCCCCCCCCCCCCCGACAGCCCTGCGACAGTGGTGGACTTTACACATTCCTATGGCGGGGACCCGTTGCTCTGCAGCACAACCACTGTCAGGTACTAATTTATCAAAACGCAGCAAGGATGATGGGCCACGCCGACCTCCCGATCTCAGAATATGTATTTATGCTGGAGGAAATCGGATGAGCTGTAAACATGTATTTTTCTCAGATATCCAGCAGTGCGATTCTCGAGCTGCAGAGCCACCAAGCCAGATTATGTATATAGTACACTCTACTGCACAGCGATAGCTCGATGTGTGTATATTCGATCAACTCAAGTTAATTTTACACAGAAAGGTAGAGAGAAAGTAAAATAATAAATATTTCATCCATCTACAGTACTATGAAATAACAATAACATTACGTTTCTTCCATTAGACTAATTAGATAATCTATTGAAATTGATAAATAAAATTAATTTTAACCGTGTGGATAGCTACAGACTTAGTGTTGTTTGAATCATCAAATAATATATTGTTTAAATGCATGCCTATACAGGTCACCATACGTCAATGGGGGTGACCTGTGAACAGACAATAACGCACTGCTATTTTAGTGCACACAAACGACAGGACGTACAGGAACAATGTACATGCATAATGTTCGTTGATTACCATATTAATATATTCTTTGGGCCTTTCGGTAAAGTCGCAAGCATTGCGATACGATCGAAACGTCGTAGTTTTTAAAATTATTTGTTATTTTCTTTGAACCTATCTACGTTACTTTACCGAAAGACCCAAAGAATATGAATTCCTGCAGTCACGAATGCTTTAAGTCAACATTTTACCATGTAAATAACCCAACCGGTAAATGGCTCCCCATTGTCATGTAGACGCATTCATCAACTCCCCCGCCCATCACGCACAAGAAGGGCTCGCGAGCGACGCCTTCACAGCTACACCTACGCACAAGAAGGGCTCACGAGCGACGTCTTCACAGCTACACCTACGCACAAGAAGGGCTCGCGAGCGACGCCTTCACAGCTACACCTACGCACAAGAAGGGCTCACGAGCGACGTCTTCACAGCTACACCTACGCACAAGAAGGGCTCGCGAGCGACGTCGTCACAGCTACACCTACGCACAGGAAGGGCTCGCGAGCGACGTCTTCACAGCTACACCTACACACAAGAAGGGCTCACGAGCGACGCCTTCACAGCTACACCTACGCACAAGAAGGGCTCACGAGCGACGTCTTCACAGCTACACCTACGCACAAGAAGGGCTCGCGAGCGACGTCTTCACAGCTACACCTACGCACAAGAAGGGCTCGCGAGCGACGTCTTCACAGCTACACCTACGCACAAGAAGGGCTCACGAGCGACGCCTTCACAGCTACACCTACGCACAAGAAGGGCTCACGAGCGACGTCGTCACGGCTACACCTACACACAAGAAGGGCTCGCGAGCGACGTCTTCACAGCTACACCTACGCACAAGAAGGGCTCGCGAGCAACGTCTTCACAGCTACACCTACGCACAAGAAGGGCTCGCGAGCGACGTCTTCACAGCTACACCTACGCACAAGAAGGGCTCACGAGCGACGTCTTCACAGCTACACCTACGCACAAGAAGGGCTCACGAGCGACGTCTTCACAGCTACACCTACGCACAAGAAGGGCTCGCGAGCAACGTCTTCACAGCTACACCTACGCACAAGAAGGGCTCACGAGCGACGTCGTCACGGCTACACCTACGCACAAGAAGGGCTCACGAGCGACGTCTTCACAGCTACACCTACGCACAAGGGCTCACGAGCGACGCCTTCACAGCTACCCCTCTATTTAAGGAACGAAACGGGCGGATGTATCCACAGATCTGGCCGTCGCTGGATGCCCGTCGTAAATACTGGAGAAACGTCGCATTCAGATGATAACATTATTTTCAATACAGCCCGTTTACAACACGAATGGCAAGTTCTGATGTGTTTATGGGACGAAATGGCAAGTTACAAAGGCTGTGTGAAAGCATCCTCACAGCGATGTTATACGTCAGTCAAAATACGTTTCAATAAATACAAACGACGCTCCAGGAACGCATTTACTCCACATATCGAGGTCTTACTTTATCATTTACTTTTGATCGTACAGTACAAGGAGCATGCATCACCCTCGGTGACAGCAGCCACTGCAATGCCTACGACTCTCGCCAACGGCCGAGCAAAGACATGTTTCCCCTCACTCTAAAAATCAATGTCTCGCTGTTTAACAGAATGCGATTTACTTACGCAGGAAATCGCCAGGCTGATTGCAGCTAAAAAGGAATGATCACTCATCCTGGGATGTTACGTTTCAGGATAATGCATTTTTTTTCCTAAAATGAAAAATTTCTTCACTCATGACGTTCATTTCC